AAAATCAATAGATTTCTGTGAATATGAACAAACTTATATCGGTAATAAGTTAAGAAGTACCTGTTAAAAATAAAAATTCCGCACATTTCTGCTGATATCTCGACAGACAATGGACGGAAGAGCGAAAATTTGGAATGCAAAGAGTTTAAACATTTGCAAACAAAATGGCATTGGTAACACGTCATGTAAACTACGAAAATAAAAGTTTAACACACCTTTACAGAGGTCAGTTAGATAAGGCTTTCTCTTTATGACACAGTGGCATTGAGCCGAAACCGCTGGAGCTTCTCCAGAAGAAGACTCTTCTGTTTGGAAAAAATTTTCACACAAATTGGGGATGACGACGCCTGTATATCTTATTTATTTGTTTATTTATCTATTTAATTATTTATTCATATATTTATATATGTATTTATATTCACACAGACCATCCCAGGTCATGTTATAGGTTTTTCCTCCAGAATTTTCTCAGATTTGATGCGCGATTAGGAAGTCAAGTGTTTTTTTGATAATTCGTTATGGGCCCATGATACTTTCACTTTTATTAAAAATTTTTCTCTTGCAGATTCAGAAAAGTGAGGTGTATATACTAACGAATTAAAAAAGTTAAAACAGAAACACAGTTTAAGGAATTTAACCTAAAAGTGCGCTGTTTTGAATTTTTTAAAAGATACTTTGTGGAAAATTTGAAAGGCTTTATCTCTATGCTGGCGCGAGTTTAAGATGCAATTAATAACACTAGGCTGTCTAAAATCACTGGCTAATACAACTTTGTGGAGTGTTTGCAGGTGGTAGCGGCCCATTTTCTGCTGAACTTCTATACTGTTATAATATGCTTCAGCTAATTCGGCAGCATATACCTAGGCAAAAATTTTTTGCTGTCCAATTCTTTAAAAAAAAATTTATTGTGGCGGTCTTTTGTGTTGCTTCTAGCCAAATTATGACGAGTCAGATATTTGGGGTTGAGTGCTGGTTGCTGGCAACAAATATTGTTTCACTATACTTTTCTCGGCAGTGCGCAAAATCGAAGCATTTTGTAAAAGAACAGAAAGACGCTTCATCATCTCTTCTAAAGTAAAAACGAATTTCCGCAGCCTTCATTTGGAATTATAAATGGCGAAATTTTAGTGGCATGAGTCCTTATATTAAAATTATTAAACCAAATTTAACTTTCAGCTCCTGATCACGACAGAAACTGATGGACCACTTTTCAAACAAACTCCATTCATACGTATATGAATATTTCCAAGCAAATGCTTTAGTGGTGGCAAGCACTTGTAAAAAAAAAAAAAAAAAAAAAAAAAAAAAAAAAA